CCCCACTACCCATGCACTCGCTGGGGCAAGCTGCAGGGCACAGAGACCACCCACCCATCATCCATGGTCCCCAAACTCTGACTTCCCAGTGCCCAAGGTGGGCCCTGTGTTGGCTGCAACGGGTGCCTCCAGCACTTGAAAACGCATAGTGGCATTTTGCTGTGTTCCTTGAGGGCAACAGGGCTTGGGCACAGTCTTGGGTGTTAAAAAAACAAACGCTTCCACCCACCCACCCACAGCTTTTGAATTTGGGGCACATGCTGTGCAACTTCACAAGCTTTTGCACGAGAATAACTTTTTGCAGTTGCAAATGCGAGGAAACACTGGACACTAATGTTACAGTCAGTATCGGGTTAGGAGCAGATAGCGTTGCCAGCACAGAGGAGAGAGAGTTAAGCAGAAGATAACAATACATGCTGGAACAAGGCCAGGAAATACTGACTGTTTGAGTCTCTCTCTCCACAATCGTCCTGATGGTGAAAAACAGGGTAGTCCAAGCACACTGTCATTAACCAACCTTCAAACTCGGTCTGTGGGTTTTTTAGCACAACTTATTTTCTTTGAAAGGCCGCAACACTACGTGAAACTGAGACTACTCTTGGCTCTGTGATTTTAATTACTTTGTAGAAGTACCTGTATTCATAGGTCCCAGGTACCCCATAAATGCACTCAAAATTAAAAGCTCCAGCTCCCAACTGGCTTGAGGTATTTCATCTATAGTGACTGTATTTTCTAAATGCAACATTGCAGGATATTGTCAATAACTGATTTCTGTGCTGACATAGTGACGAGAAAGCAAATGCCCCACCCTGGGGGTAAATCCACACAGGTGTGAGGCCGTACAACTGTGTAACCCACACCCAGACCGTGCATGTGGGCATGCAGCGGGGCCATTCGCTGCACAAGGGCAGAGAAAGTGGTGTCCATGGAGGGGTCAGACCCACCTTGTGTCTCCAAGGGCCAAAGATCTCAGCTGCTCTCGCACATTTGCTCTGCAGTGGCAAAGCACAGCCCAGGCTCACTGGTCTGCATCCTCTGTGGACTTAGCACAGCTCTTTAACAGCCAAGCAGTTAAAGCCTCTTTGGTATGGAGGACGATGGCTGAAATATAAATATGGGGAGGCCTGGCAGATTGATTATATCACACTCCCACAGACCCGCCAAGGCAAGCGCCACGTGCTCACAATGGTGGAAGCAACCACTGGGTGGCTGGAAACATACCCTGTGCCCCATGCCACTGCCCGAAACACTATCCTGGGCCTTGAAAAGCAAGTCTTATGGAGGCATGGCACCCCAGAACGAATTGAGTCAGACAACGGGACTCATTTCCGAAACAGCCT